CGGGGGGCCTCGAGGGGGGTCCGAAGATCTGCCCAGACGCCCGCGGCCCACGGGCACCGCTAGGAGGAAACCCCGCGGGGGCCAGACACTGGGGCCGAGGAGGATTGGAGGAGGAGGAGGAGGTGGGCGATTTTTGGCCCCCAAGTTCCTCGTCGTCGCCACGGCTGGACTCGCCTTCGAAATCCTATGGGTCAGAACGCACATCTTGCGTGCAGCAACAAAAAGCAAGGGGGGCGAGCCCCCCCCCCAGCAGCCCCCTCAGGCGCAGTGCCCGTGAAGGGAGGGGCTGCTCTCCTGGGCCCCGTCTTCCCCTCCGAACGGAGGGCGCGGAAGGGCGCCCCCCTCTGTCCACCCTCGCTCCAGCGAAGGTGGACAGAGGGAACGGTGTGTGTGTGTGTGTGTGTGTGTGTGTGTGTGTGTGTGTGTGTGTGTGTGTGTGTGTGTGTGTGTGTGTGTGTGTGTGTGTGTGTGTGTGTGTGTGTGTGCGGGGGGCTACTGGCTGCGGCGCACTGCTGGTCACAGGCCATGGGGCGCTGCATCCCAGTGGGAATGCAACGAGGTAAGGGCCCCCTCGTAGCCCTTCCCATCCCTTGCGAGGGGGAAGAAGGGCAGGGCCCTAACCACGACCCCCATGGTCGCCATATGCGCACTCGCGTGCCTTGACCCCCGTCGGTGCCCGAGGAGGAGAAGCAGGGATGCCCAGAAGCCCCGAGGCCCCTTGGAGCCCCTGAAGCCCCTCAAGAGCCCAATGGGGGGGGTAGGGGCCCTGAGGGGCCAGTGGGGCCCAGGGGCCCGAGGCCCCCCGAAACCTGTTGAGCCCTCTCAAGAGCCCCACGGGATCCCTTAGAAGCCACCGGGGCCCATCAGAAGCCATGGGCCCTGGGAGGCCATTGAAAACGATGCGGTGCCAACCGCGGGCACCGCAGGGACATATCCAAAACGCCCCATTGACCCCATTGGGGCCGCGGGGGTGCCCCCAGACACCCTGCACCCCAGCGGGCCCATAGGAAGGAAGCCAAGGAGCTCCGCCCAGATCGGCCCACCCCTCACGCGGATCGCGGGCGTCGGTGCGGCGGAAGGCGGACGGCCTGGTCCCGTGCGGTGCGTGGTTGCCGCTGATCCTGCTGCTGCTGCTGCCGCTGCTGCTGCTGATCCCCCCCCCCCCCCCCTCCTCGCGGCAATGCCGCTGGAGACAGCTTCGCCAGCGGAGCGCCACCTCTGGCCCCGACGAGATCAAGCTGCACGGCAGACACGGCACAATCGGCGATGGCGGCGCGGAGGGAGGGCACGAGGAAGATGAGCCGTTCACCATCGCACAGTTGAGAAGCCAACAATCACCAGGCGCATTTCGAGAGGGCCCACCCCCCGCCATCCCTATCACATGTCATTGCCTTCTTCACCGTGGCGCCCCATGCATCCGATCAGCAGCGCTCGATGCCGCAACGAACCTTTGAATCGGGCCCGCCGCGCCCCGCGCTGAGAGGGGGCGGTGGGCTCAAGTTACCGTGCGCCCTCGGCCTTTGTCGTCATGGCCGTCGTCGTCGTCGACGTCGTGGTCATCGTCGTCGTCGTGGTCGTCGTCGCCGCCGTCGCCGCCGCCGCCGCCGTCGACGTCGTGGTCATCGTCGTCGTCGTCGTGGTCGTCGTCCCCACCGCCGCCGCCGTCGTCGTGGTCGTCGCCCCCCGCCTTTGTGGTGGTCGTCGTCGTCGTTGTCGACGCCGTGCCCCAGGGGATAAGATAACGCAGCCCAGCATGCAACAGCAGCGATGCGCCCCCCGCCCGATCGACCCTCTGAGCCCGAAGTGGGCCCGAACACGGGCCCGAAAGACGTTCGACGGGGAGGGGGCCCATCCACGTGCTCTCCCATGCCCGCCTCTGCTATCTCGCACGCTCTTCCTGATCCTCCTCATCCTTCTCATCCGCTGCCTCATCCTCCGTCTTTCCTCCCCCATTCCGCCTCTCCTCCAACCAGTCCACGTCGACCACTCCTGGCCATCGAGTTTTCCAGCCACCAGCGCGGCGGCGCCAGTTCCACAAGAGAGGCGGTCCGCCTCCGCTGAGGAGGCAGGGCGCCTCGTGCCTCGACCGAGGCACTCGCTCAGCTAGTCGAGGCTGATCGCCTTGATGCACCGCTCCTTCAGCACGTGCTGGAACTTGTCGAGGCCGCCGTACTTCTTGATCTTCTTCTCCTCTGCGGCCACGGCCTGCTGCAGCGCCATCCTGCTGGGCTTGGGCTTCGCCGACAGGGCCAGGCAACGCGCCTTCTCAGCCACCGTGATGTGCCACAGCGCCGCGCACGCATCCGCCTCGGTCAGCACCGCCGTGTTCGGCTCGACGCCGAACGACCCGCACAGGGTCTTGCACTCGCCCGCGGCCTCGAATGCTGAGCGAAAGCGTAGCAGCGCGACGGCGACGACCACGACGACGACGACGACCACGACGACGACGACGACGACGACCACGGCGACGACGACGGCGACGACGACGACACAGGACGGG